TTATTATAGAAATAACTTGGATTCAATTATTATTGATAACATTTTATGATTCTTTTTTATAAAATATATAATGATATGGAAAGAAAATTAACATGATATATATTGATAATGTAGCATATTTAATTTAGTATATACTAGCAAAGCAGCTTGACGAGGCAAGGTTAACCAAAGCTCGCCAATTGGTGGGACTATAAAATGCTAGCATGCCCTTACCAAGGCCAGAGACCTAGAGTGCCAGCTTGTGGAATTTTTTAAAAAATGAAATTTAATTTAAACCTAATTCAAAGAGCTAATAATTAAAAAATAAAATAAAATAGTCTAGATATATAATTTAAACAAACATTAATACATAGTTTTAAAGTTAATATTAAAACTAGATAATCTAAAATAAAACCAATGCAAAGTTTAAAAACTCCAAATATTGCCAACTAATATAATGTGATGAAATATTTTAAAAAAAAATCAGTTATAATATATATATATATATATATATATATATATATATATATATATATATATATATATATATATATATATACACACACACACACAAAGAATCATTGAATGAGAATAAAAATGACATGGTTGAAAAAGAAAATGATAATTAATACTTGATTAAAAATGACACAGAATATATTACTGGAAATATATATATAAAAAAAATATGTTATTAATAATTAACTAATTAATATGTATTAGAAAAGTATCATTGATTGAGAATGAAAATGGAATGAAAAGTATGCTAATTGGAAAAAGAAATGATAATTAATACTTTATTGAAAATGGCACGAAATATATTACTGAAAATATTTTTAAAAAATGTTATTACTAATTAACTAATTAATATTTATTAAAAAAGAATCATTGACTAAAAATAAAAATGACATATATGGAAATTAAGCCAATTGAAAACGACATGATAATTACTATTTGATTAAAAATGACACAGAATCCTTTTAAAAAATGGCACGAGATATATAATTTCTAAATATATAATGACAATTATATTAATAATTATAGTATAAATTAATTGATATGTATTAAAAACAATATTTGACTTAGAATACAAATGACATGAAAATTAGGCTAATTGGAAAAGGAAATGATTATTAATACTTAATTAAAAAATAAAAATAATCCCAAATTGACTCAAATGACAAAAAAATAGCAAGTCCGCCCAAACAATAGTATATGTAAATTGAAAAAGAAATCTGTTAATTGAAAAAATAATTGACTGAGATTAAAAATGACACGAAATATACAAATTATGGTATAATATTTTTTAAAAAAATATCTCCAAACTAACAATGTCGAAAAGGAAACAGGTTAACAATAGTATATGTGAATTGGAAAAATGTATCTGTTATTAATAATTTACTGGAAATAAAAAAAATTATATTAATAATTATATAATTAATATGTATTAAAAAAGAATTATTGGCTGGTAATAAAAATGACATGAAAATTAGGTCAATTGAAAAAAGAAATGATAATTAATAATTGATTAAAATGGATCAGAATATATTACTGGAAATAAAGAAATATGTTATTAATAAATAACTAACTAATATGTAATAAAAAAGAATTATTAATCGAAAATAAAAATGGAATGAAAATTAGTCCAATTAGAAAAAATAATAATAAATATTTGATTGAAATGACATGGAATATATAAATTCTAACTCTATATCGGCATTATATTAATATTTATAGTATAAACTAATTGATATGTATTAAAATAATATTTGACTAAGAATAGAAATGACATGGAAATTAGCACAACTGGAAAATGTATTTGTTAATTGAAGAAATAATTGACTGAGATTAAAAATGACACGGAATACATAAATTATGATATAATATATTTTAAGAAAAAAAAAAGATCCCCATATTAACTATATAGGAAATGAAACGGATTAACTATTGTATATGTACATTGAAAAAGGTATTTGTTATTAATAATTTACTAGAAATATAAAAAAAAAAATCGGTTATAAATAATTAACTAATTAATATGTATCAAAAAAAAAAATCATTGAATGACAATAAAAATGTCATGGTTGGAAAAGGAAATGATATATTTCTTTTTTCGAAAACAAGAAATGATAATTAATACTTGATTAAAATGGCACAGAATATATTACTGAAAATATTTTTAAAAAAATATGTTATTAATAATTAACTAATTAACATGTATTAGAAACGTATCTTGATTGAGAATGAAAATAGAATGAAAATTAGGCTAATTGAAAAAAAAATGATAATTAATACTTGATTGAAAATGGCACGAAATATATTATTGAAAATATTTTTTTAAAAAAATCTGTTATTACTAATTAACTAATTAACATGTATTAAAAAAGAATTATTGACTGAGAATAAAAATGACATATATGAAAATTAGGCCAATTGAAAAACGACATGATAATTAATACTTGATTAAAAATGACACGGAATCTTTTTAAAAAAATGGCACAAGATATGTAATTGCTAAATATATAACGAAAATTATATTAATAATTATAGTATATGAGCAAATATTAAATGGTATTGAATTTAATATGAATAAATAACGTTTTAAAATATTGATTTTTTCCATAAAAGACTAAATTTCATATCCTAAGGCCCCACAACTCGGCCCGACATAATAATAGAGAGGTAAATAACGTTTTAAAATATTTTTATATGACATTTGAAAGTCCATTCTTGCGGTTGAGTGTGAACCCGTTAAAATAAGTATCTTAATTAGCAGACGGTTTTTTATTAATTGTATTAATATAATAGATTATAGTTATTATACATGGATCCATGCCATCTCTTAATTAAGATTTATCAAATTGCCAGAGTATATTTTATCAATTTAACTAAATTACATTATATTCACGCGCTATTATGGATCCATGTCTCTCTTAATTAGCCGTCGTTTTTTATTAATTGTATTAATATAATAGATTATATATATATTCACGCTATTTCACTCGCACCCTCTAAATACTATGTATATCAAATTTCCATGAACAATCTGACGTGTGGATTGACTATTGGGACGGGGAAGTCGTCATCCAGATTCCAGGCCACCGCCTATAAAACCCACTACGAGGCTAATTAAGCTTCCTCGTACACCATCATATTATATTCTAGGACCGGAGAAACTAAAGATCAATGGCGGCGGAGAAAGAAGTCGGCGTTAAAAGGGCGAGCGATAAGTACAGGTCCTTCCTTCATGAAGAAGACGGTGGAGGAGGAAACATCCAGTGGAGGCACGGCGGCGCTCCCACTTTCGACGCCGTTAACGAGCTCTTTGAGCAAGGCAGAACCCAGGTACGTATAGTACTAGGTTGTATCATCACTTGCATGTATATATGTGTGATGGATTTAATTAATTCAGGGTGGCACGAATTATTAAACTCGGAAATAAATAGAACGACTTAGTAAAAGGCCGTGAAGACCGTATTATATGTGATAAGTAGGCTATTATAATGATTTGTTTAGGAGAAAGTATGTAAGTAAAATGTGTCTTAATTGAAAAGGGCCTTTTATACAAGTCATGATCTCCTAACTGTCATCCTAAATCGAGATAAACAGTTATCCCCGCCTTTACCGCGTCCGATCCGAAAACCGAACAACGCGGCCGAGGTCGGTTGCCGGGCCCGGACCGACCTCCAGCCGAGCTCGTGCCGAGGCGGGTATGATGGCCGGCGTTTTGAATTGGTTATTAAGTTTAATTTGTAGGTATGGCCAGAAGGATCCTTGGAAGAGACAGTACAAAATGCTGTGAAGTCCTGGGAAATGGAGCTGTCTCATAAAACTCGCATTCAAGACTTCAGGACCATTAATCCTGAAAAATTCAAGCTCTTCGTTAATGGTATGTATGCAGCATCTTAGATTTTTTCTTAAAAAATGACTATTCAACTATTTATCCATAATTTTGAAAAAGGCATCATAGAATTTTTCTTAAAAATTGACTATTCAACAATTTATCAAACACCTCATTATAACAACATGAGAGTGAAGTATGAAAAAGGTAAGAAAAAAATTGTGATTGGCATGCATGATAAATAGTAGTGGATTTAGATATATATCAGTCCATTTAAAAATATAGTTGGTGAAGATGTTACAACATAACAGATCATATGTTCACTCTCACCACAAACAAATTAAATAAATAGTCACACCCACATGATTCATGTGATCATGTCTACCCTCATCAACTCGACAATTTATATCATGGACCAACATTATGGACCTTGGATGGGCGAGGTATAAAATTCTTCGTAAAGTACAAAATTTTATAACATAAGATACAAAAAATTACAATACAAGACATATATACATGTTATATATATATATATATATATATATATATATATATATATATATATATATATATATATATATATATTTTTTTTTTTTTTTTAAATATAATTTAGATACATAGTCACAAAATTTCATAATACAAGACGTAAAGATTCATAATATAAGACACAACTATTAATTTGTTTCACTTACAAAATTCATACTCTTTCAAGGTACACTATTTCATAACACAAAACACAAAAACTCACAACATAAGACACATACACATGCACCAGGATCTACACTGTACTGTGAAACTGGTTCATGGGATAAGGATTGCATCAACCCTATAGTACATATTCCCGATCGACATCATCAAACTAATTTCTCTTCCTTTTATTTATTTATTTATTAATTATAGGGAGGGAGGGATTGTCAGCTGAAGAAACCTTAGAGGTGGGGAGTTACAATGCACTGTTGAAGACCTCGTTGCCGGAACAGTTCAAGTTCTACAAATCCGAGGAGGAGAGTTTTGAATCGTCACACGACGAGTTCCGGTCGGCATTTCCTCGGGGGTTTGCGTGGGAGGTGATGGCCGTGTATTCAGGGCCGCCTGTGGTGACCTACAAGTTCAGGCATTGGGGCTATTTTGAAGGACCTTTCAAGGGCCACTCTCCTACCGGAGAATTGGTTCAGTTTTATGGCCTTGGTATCATGAAGGTACTCTCTATCTCTCTCATCTCCCCAAACAGATAAATTGTGAACAAGAACACATGATCGAACCTTGACAATCATGAGAGTCACACCCAGACTCCTTGTAAAGATATCAGATACAAATCCTCCCACGTAATGGGTTATTAAATCACATAATTTAAACTTTCACTATCTGTTAGGTCGAGATGTTGAGGTCCTGCACGCAAGATATTATTAATTATTAGATACAAGAATATGTACATATTGTTGCTGTGTTCTGTAGATAGACATGATTCTTATCTTCTTCAGTTCACTGATTTTTAAGATAGGTAGAGTCCATATGTTGTCCATCCACATCAGTATGAGTGGACCCTAACGTTTACAAAGTTGTACTATGAATATGATTATGATGTTTAATTTACAGGTTGATGAATCTCTGAGGGCCGAGGAAGTAGAGATATACTATGACCCAGCAGAGCTTTTTGGTGGGCTTCTCAAAGGAACAGATTCCAACATTAAGCAATGCCTGAGTCAATAATGTTAAGCCCTTAACTGGAATAAAAAAAAATGTGGGTACTACTTGTTTCTTAAAATGAAAGGTTCATAGTATTTTGATTTTAGTATTTTTAATAATTTTTCTTATTTATCCTTCATTATATTATTTTCTTTCCTTAAATAACCTTAAATTCTGTTAGTATAAACTTTATTAACGGAATATTCCGTTAACTATTTATTATTCTTAACTTACTCATTAATTTCTATAAGAAATGTCTTAGGTTCGAACCTCATTCCAATTAGAGTTAGCATAATTGTTAAACATATACTACAAATATGTTAAAATGTATTAAAAAATAAAATATAAAATTTAACATAAACTTTGGTCAAATAATTAGCCCGACTAAATTCATAGCATTCAATGATTAAAAATCATGAACTTTGATAATCATTTGATTTTCTTTCATTAAAAAAATAATAAATAAGTTCAGTTTTTTTTTTTTTTTCGTTTAATTAATCTTCTTTTGATTATTGAGAACAAAATTTAATATTTCAATTATGCATTTATCAATGCATGAAAACTTCTAAAGAATTTGTAAGTTAATTTTTATATTATTATACTAATATCTATTGTGATCATATATTTTGAATTATTTATTATCATCATCTATTGACAACAATTGTCATTGACAAACTCTCAAAATAATTTGTCTCAACAACGAATGGAAATTAAAAAAAAAATCAATGATTTCATTACTGTGGATGAAAAGTATATACGCCACTTTATTCCATCGTTATGCTGTAGAACCGTGTCCACCTTGTAATGTGGACACAGTTCTATATTCATAATTACTGAACTATATGTTCATAATTATAAAGCTATATATTCATAATTTTAGAACTTCATATTCATAATTATTGAACTCTATATTCACAATTACAAACTCTATGTTCATAATTACTAAATTATATGTTCATAATTATAAAACTATATATTCATAATTTTTTAACTTCATATTCACAATTATTGAAACTCTATATTCATAATTATAGAATTATATGTTCATAATTATGTTCACAACTCTATGTTCATAATTAATTAATTATAGAACTATATGTTCATAATTATGAACAATTTTGGAACCGTGTTCACCTTTGTCCACATTGCAAGGTGGACACGGTTTCACATCATAATTTTCTCACTTTATTGCTCTTATTACTTAAACTAGTATTTTCACCCGTGCGATTCACGGAATGGAATTGTTGTAATATATTAAGAATATTTAAATCGATATATAATTATTTAAGAGTTAATTTCACCAGAGGTCGCTTATCTTTCCTGACAATTCCAAATTTAATCCTAGACTATAGTTATTAATTATTACAATTTATTCTATGTTACAACTCTTACGTTAATATTCTTACTATTATTATTAACACTTAATTACTTTTAGATATTATTATTACCACTTATATTATTATTATTATATTATTATTATTATTATTATTAGTTTCTTTTGAAGTACTGTTAGTATATAATGGTCGTGAGGCACAATAATAATATAACCATAATTAAATATTCTTGTATTGTATTCCGGAGTTAATGCCACTTTTGGTCCTAGACTTATTGAGGCATTGACACTTTTCATCATCCATACTAAAAATTGCCACTTAGTAGACACTATTATTGGTCGTTGGACAGTTTTGATCCTCCGTCAATGAAGCCGTTTGTTGACCGTGAATTAGAAGGGCTTTTCTGTCTTTTTATGTCTTATTCTTCTAATCTTGTTTAGACCAGCACTGCTGTGACTCCTGTGAGGCGAGATGGCAAGACTTGGCGGCTAAGTAGTAACCGTCGGTAGTGAGTAGCAGCGAGGTTCTTCTCCGGCGAGTTGTGGGTACGACGGCGAGCATACGAGGCAGTAACTCCTTCCGGCGACGGACCAGTAAGGCAGATCTGGCGGTGCAGCAACAGATCCGGCGAGGTTGGGGCCTTCACCGGTGGTTTTTGATTCCGGCGAAGCAGAGAGGGTAGCAGGTCGGCGAACCCTCCTATGGTAAATAGCAGTTGTAGTTGTAGATGGCGTGATGTAGAATTTGCACCTGTAAGTCCTCCCTTCCATATTAACCACAAATATCCTTCCCATCTCTCTCTCTCTCTGACCACAACTACTTGGTGCACAACCTCAAAAACTCTGTTATTCTACCTGAAAATCATTGAAGTTTCAAGCTGAAAATGTGGAATCCGCCGCTCCCCAAAAATCGCATTGTCTGAGGTGTTGGAATGGCCGGTTTTGACTTCCTAGCGGTTGTAGCTTCATTCCCCAACCCGGATGATAAAATTCGGAGCACCAGCTTTGAGGTTCAAGGAGGTGGTAACACTGGCAATGCTTTGATAAAACCCGGATGATAAAATTCGTCTTGGTCTTAATCCAAGGATCATATCTAAGGTTGCTGATGACTCGCATGGCGAAAGAATACTTGATGAGCTTGAAATGGATGGTGTTGATACATCTTTTATGGTGGTGTCCAAAGGAGGAAACTCATCATTCACATATGTCATTGTTGACAACCAAAAAAAAAAAAAAACTCGCACGTGCATTTTCAATCCAGGATATCCACCCATGATATCTGAGGGTCTACATACCCAAATCAAAATTGTCTTCAGCGCTTGGAGTAAATATTGTCTACTTAGATGGAAGGCTGCATGAGACTGCTTTGATTGTAGCGCAGGAGGCAAAGAGTAGGGGCATACCTATTATAGTTGATGCAGAAAGGTTAAGGGAGGGGTTGGGTGATATTCCTGACTTTGCTAGTTATGTTGTATGCTCGACAAAATTTCCACAGGCATGGACTAACGCCCTTTCTATTCCAACTGCACTTGTTTCCATTATCTTGAGATTGATGTCAAATGTAAAATTTGTGATTGTTAGTTGGGTGAAGATGGTTTCTTAATGTGAGAAAGGACTGAAGCGGATAATCTCAGTTTGAAGAAATGGATGTAACAGTGACCAATGGATGGAGAAATACAAGGATTAGAACATAAAAAGACAGAAATACCGTGAGTCACAATAATAATATAACAATAATTAAATATTGTTTAATTCTATATTCTTCTAGGATTTCTATTACCATCATTAATTATTCCCAAATTTACCATAATTAAATAATTTGACCAATTATAAAGAAAGATTATTAAATAATGCACGAGACAATTGTTTAATTAAAAATTTTAAAAATTCATTAATAAAACATAAGGTTCTCATAGTTTTTTCTTAGAAACTCTTTAATAAAGTACTTTTTTTAGAAATTGGTGGGCCAAACCGCCTACGGCAGTTTGCAGTGGATAGATCTCGAAAAAATACGCGATTTCAAAAAAACATTTGTCCAAAACGGAGAACGGAGTAAAAAGATATGCCTTGCCGAACTTTTGTTTTTATATATAGAATAGATTGTATTACACTATTTTATAATATTAGAATAGAATTTTAACGCAGAATTATTGTACGAATGGGAAAGTAGAAATCAATATATTCTATTAGGAAGTGAGATTTTTTAGGAATTGGGCGGGAAGTAAAAATTTCATGATTTTGTTTTTATATATAGTATAGATTGTATTACACTATTTTATAATATTAGAATAGAATTTTAACGCAGAATTATTGTACGAATAGGAAATTAGAAATCAATATATTTTATTAGGAAGAGAGATTTTTTAGGAATTGGGCGGGAAGTTAAAATTTCAGGATTTTGTTTTTATATATAGTATAGATTGTATTACACTATTTTATAATATAAGAATAGAATTTTAACGCAGAATTATTGTACGGATGGGAAAGTTGAAATCAATATATTTTATTAGGAAGAGAGATTTTTTAGGAATTGGGCGGGAAAGTTAAAATTTCAAGATTTTGTTTTTATATATAGTATAGATTGTATTACACTATTTTATAATATTAGAATAGAATTTTAACGCAGAATTATTGTACGAATGGAAAAGTAAAAATCAATATATTTTATTAGGAAGAGAGATTTTTTTAGGAATTGGGCGGGAAGTTAAAATTTCAGGATTTTGTTTTTATATATAGTATAGAAGTATAGATTGTATTACACTATTTTATAATATTAGAATAGAATTTTAACTCAGAATAATTGTACGAATGGGAAAGTAGAAATCAATATATTTTATTAGGAAGAGAGATTTTTTAGGAATTGGGCGGGAAGTTAAAATTTCAGGATTTTGTTTTTATATATAGTATAGATATAGATTGTATTACACTATTTTATAATATTAGAATAGAATTTTAACGCAGAATTATTGTACGGATGGGAAAGTTGAAATCAATATATTTTATTAGGAAGAGGGATTTTTTAGGAATTAGACGGTAAAGTTAAAATTTCAGGATTTTGTTTTTATATATAGAATAGATTGTATTACACTATTTTATAATATTAGAATAGAATTTTAACGCAGAATTATTGTACGAATGGGAAAGTAGAAATCAATATATTCTATTAGGAAGTGAGATTTTTTAGGAATTGGGCGGGAAGTAAAAATTTCATGATTTTGTTTTTATATATAGTATAGATTGTATTACACTATTTTATAATATTAGAATAGAATTTTAACGCAGAATTATTGTACGAATGGGAAAGTAGAAATCAATATATTCTATTAGGAAGAAAGATTTTTTAGGAATAGGGCGGAAAGTTAAAATTTCAGGATTTTGTTTTTATATATAGTATAGATTGTATTACACTATTTTATAATATTAGAATAGAATTTTAACGCAGAATTATTGTACTAATAGGAAATTAGAAATCAATATATTTTATTAGGAAGAGAGATTTTTTAGGAATTGGGCGGAAAGTTAAAATTTCAGAATTTTGTTTTTATATATAGTATAGATTGTATTACACTATTTTATAATATAAGAATAGAATTTTAACGCAGAATTATTGTACGAATAGAAAAGTAGAAATCAATATATTTTATTTGGAAGAGAGATTTTTTAGGAA